TTATCACCTTCAATATACACCGTTCCTCTATCCATATAACGCTCCATGCGAATATTCCATTGTCTGAAAAAGTGCTGGAGATCTGTCAGATCCTTCAGGACTTTCACTTTCAGAGCTTCATCAGACTGAAATTTTGGCACTTTCGAAGCAGATTGGCGGATCTTTTTTTTTTACTTATGATTCTGAAGCAAAAAGAACCAATTCGTGGACTGGAAAATCCCAATTTCACCGAATGGACTCGACTGAGCAAAGCCGGTTCAAATTCAAAGCAATGATGATTGTTTTTTCAATATTCATGGGATTGTGCTACCTTCAATAGCTTCTCCAAGAACAAACTATTAATCAACATTACTGCATTCTCGTTTTTGCTGAGAGAAAGCGGAATCCGTCCTGAAGAAGCTGACAGAAGATTTCCAGCACTGTTTCAGACAATAGAAGATTCGCATGGAGCGTAGTAAGTAGTGTTGCCCAAAATCGATCTTGGTCTAGCACTTTGCAAGACTAAGACCAAGGCCGCCTAACTGTTGCAAGACCAATACCATGACTGGTAAAAAAAAACTCGATTTTTTAAATAAAATTAGGGCAAAATAGTCACTAATACTTGACAATCTTAGTTACTATATGTTAATAATTGGTATAACCAATTTACTTTTGCATTTAACTCCTCTAATATTTCATTCGGGCTTAATTAGGTTTCTCATAGATAAAAAAATATAGTAATATCCCTATAGCTATAAGCTAATAAGTAACTGCAAGACTGTTGCGAGACTCTTGCGCAAGATCAAGACCATGACCAAGACTGAGTTTGCAAGACCAACACTCGTCTTGGTCTCACATTTGGGCAACACTAGTAGTAAAGATAGAGAAGGGGTGTGTATTAAAGGTGATAATATGCATGAAATAAAAACAAAATATTTTACAGCATCAGTCTTGTATTTAAGAAACGTACTTCATACCTGTATAGTATAATATAAAATGGTAAAAATGAAGTATTTAACGAATACCAAAGCTTCATCCATTATTCAGGACTACATAAAATAATGTAAAATAAAAAATTAAATAAGTTAGTAATATTAAAACTAATTTCTTTTTGTTCTAACATTCATATGCTTTAATTTTATTTACGTCTATGACTTTCATTGTTGATATTTCTTCTTCTTTTTAACCCTGAAGAAGACCTATAGAATGGATCGAAACGTATTCATTCAATAAGCAGTTTCTGCAATATTTATTTTGTATTAATCTTAACACCATTTTTCTTAATTATTACTGCGGTCAAACCATTCGATATATAAAAATTCATCCTTATTATTTTTTTTTCAGTAGTCCAATCAGTAGTTACATCTGTCCAATGTAAAATCTGTTTTAATCGATTGATGGGATCAAAACATTATGAAAATATACCTTAAATCACATCGTTTCGCAAACTTAACATTTTCTGAAGTTTGTCTCTCTTAAACATCTTGCTTAAAAACGTGGTAGTTAAAACTCTTAATAACCTTAATAATTTTAACAGAGTGGTTTGATAATTATTATTGTACTGTCAGAAAAAAAAAAACTTGTAAAGCCAGTTTCGTGAATGAACAATTGTTTGGTTACAGTGCCCAGTTTCTGATAATCTCTTTTATAATCTTTAAATAATTGTCAACGGAGAATATGTGTCTAACTTAAGAAACTCAGCCCGTTATTAATATTTATTTTCTATTGTAACATTATTCAAAGAGGAAAGGAAAATACTTCCCTGTTTCCTCATTCCTTTTAAGATCCTTTCGTCGCAGATTCTCACCATAATGCTAATTTTAGCTCCTTTTCTTTATTCATCGGCTGACCATCCTGTTTTACATCCCCAATGCATTAATTACTTTGTAGTCGTACGATAATAACAGAATTTTATAGAAAAAATCTATTAGACTTTTAGTTGGATGTTATAAGAACTTTTTTGTAATTTTTTGAACAATTGGTATACTACAAGTATGACCTACGAAAGTATCAAGCATATCCAGTCACATTTTATTGTAGTTCTTTGTTACTGTGGGAACGTTACTAAATACCACATATTCCTGTTCACATCAATGTGAGAATTTTCAGCAGATAATTTATACCTAATATCTTTTTCTTTATTTTTAATTAACTTGAATAATTTTGTTTTCAATTATTTCTCATTTTTAATACATATTTACATCGCGTATATTTTAAACATTTTTAATATTGAGAATTAAAAACCGTCATCCGATTTTACTACATTTCGATATATTAATGTTTATTGTTTGACATTTATGGTTTGGAATATCAGATGAAATTACATATCAGGTGTAGGTGAATAACATGATCTAGTTGTCATTGTGACATAGGTTTGATATTAATACTTACCACACCGCCTCCTTACAATATTGATAAGTCGAGATCTCGACATCTCCATCTCTCTCAGTATCGACACCTCGGCCCCTAGACCTGCAGTGTTAGGGAATGAATTGTGTTCTCAGACTACGATAATTTCATTTTGTTCCAGTATGTCTAAAATAATTCATAAGGCTTGTAATTATCTATTATGCCATTTGTTATATATTCCTCTTCCCTCAGTTTTAATTATCTTAAGTACAAAATATGTCATAATTCTTACGAAGTAAGGTTTAACTTTCAATGTTTCCGTTTATTGACAATTTGGTGCTGCTAAACAAAAATGGTATTGAAATAATATTCCGTGATACAGACCCCTTTTTATCAAATCATTAACACCCGGCTGAAACTTCGTAAATAGCTTCATCCCATCTTAACCTACAAATATTATATATACAAAAATTCTCGGAATTGGGACGTTTTCGATCTGGAGGTCGGCAAACTTTGTCTAATTAATTAGGTACTAAAAATTAGTAAATATCCATTTGCTTTCCACTTGAATCGTTAGATAACTTGAGAAAAAAAGTGGCCTTCGAAAATATTGAGCCATTTGGCATGACATACACCTACAAATTGTCAAAATAACGAGGTTGTATAGGCCAAACGGCCCAATATTTTTGTAGGTCTCCTTTATTATCCATTTTTTTATCAAATTCTCTTACGATCCAAGAGAAAAGCAAAGGGGTATTTACGAGCTTTTAATACTTAACTAAATAGACAGAATTTGACGACTACCATATTGAAAACGCTCCAATTCCGAGAATTTTCGTAAATAAAATATTTATAGCTTACGATGAGATGAAGCTATTTACGAAGTTTCAGCCGGATGTTAATAATTCGATAAAAAAAGAGGTCTGTACCACGGACTACGAATGTTACAATGCTGAAAAACACAAAAAATATTTCTCGAAATAAATACGAGTTTTATTAGTTTCAGAAACGAAGAAGATTCGGTATTGAGAGGGAGTACTTTTCAATGAGTACAAAAATTTAAGTACTCCTAAAATAACTGTGATGAGTAAAATAATTGAAATAAACGAAATTCAAGAGAATATCTAGATAAAATTAATACGTTTTTTATTGTTGTTTTTTAGCTTCTAAATTATTAATTTCACGTTTGTTTTATAGAAATCCAAAAGTTAAAATTAACAACCTATTTATACTGCTAGTATTTCAGAGAAATAGTTAGAATTTCAAAATAGTTCATTAATCTTTCCAAAATTTTAAATATATTCTTAACAAAGTATGTTTTTAAAAAATAAAATAATTAATATAAATAATCAGTTATCACATACACCAAAACTCCTTTATTGCTTGCTCTGTCAACTTCTGGAATTCCCTCCTTATCAAAATACGGCATTCCACCTCCATATCCATATTCAAAACCCTTCTATTCCAATTCCTATCCCAAAAACACCCAGATAGTTGCTAACCATTCGACAACATACATTTATTTCATGCTATTCATTGTCAAATATCAATGCTGTTCTTTGCTAGAGATAATAATATTCCTATAGTGTTAAGATTTCTCTAATCTTCATGTCACTGAACGCATCTATTGTTTGTATATAACTATTATATTTTATACACCATCAAATTCTTGCCTATCGTTACGTTATGAAATTATGATAATGTATTTATATATTATTCAACATTTAAATGATAATGTATTTATATATTAGTCAGGCACTTTATATTGTCTGGTTCAGCTTTCTCTTTTCTCAACAGAAACTTATTTTAAGGAAGAATTTTATATGATTTTATTTTTTCTTTATTGTTTTCTTAAAAGTCTACATTCATACTGGTTTATCACTACAAATAGTTTTAAGTGCCTTGTCATAGTTTTCAGTGTTTTGTATATAGTTTTATTTGTTTTAGTATATAACATGTTTACCTTATATTTTCTATACATTTTTTCTTTTTTTTTCTATTGTTTTTATTTAGGCCACATGTAATCTTTTAATTTTGTTATTCACCAGAGACTTTGTCCCAGGATAAAGTTATTTTCTATTTCTATCTATTATGACATTCATTTCTAGCTTTCGTATCATTAACTTGTTATTAATTCAATTAAAAATAAGTAATTATTTGCTTCTTTTTCACGATTAGGGCAATAAGGAATTATTTTTAACACACATGAAGCGTAGATATATGAAGGACTTCTCATTGTTCAAGAATGACTACCATATGCTCAAAGATGAAAACATCATTAACATCCAAGTATTCACGAATCGGTGACACACCTAAATTCAGTTGCGTTTTTTTAATACTCCATTTGACAAGAGGTGCCCAGAAGAGGGTTTCGCTAGATACGCCATGAACATTTTTTAGAGGGGGGCTATATTTTTACGGGGTTATAAATTTTTGGACTGAGGTACAAGGGGAAAACATGGAACAGGCCGTTGAAAGTGTAATGGTGTATGATCTACGATTTTTCTATTTCTACGCTGCTCAGTTTTTAAGAAAAGGTGAGAAATAAATCTTGTTTTATTACAATTAAGGTGCGCCATGGATCTTGGCAGGATGGATACTCCTGCGTTTGACATTAATGAAACATTATTTTATTATATTCTATAACTTATTGTTGCTCCCTCTGTTGCTAGATATAATCCTCAACTTCCGCACGACGTTCGTGAGCAAAAAGGGCGAAGTAGTGTCCAAAAGCAGCTCGATCGCCCTCAACTACCTCAAGGGATGGTTTGTCGTGGACCTTTTAGCTGCCATTCCCTTTGACCTCCTCTACGCTTTCGACGTGTACTCTGGCGAGGTAAGGCTCTTTTAGGTACTATGTCTTAGTAAATTGTGTTGTTTCTAGTTTGTTCCAGGTTTTACATCGATCTAACAGATAAATGTCATACGACTGAATGATATTTTTAAAAAAATTATATCTCCCACCATAAGTCGATCGCACTCAAGAAAATCAAATTTATATGGAATCTTGGAATTCACATAAAATATGCAGAGTGTTCCGTAAGTAGAGGGAAATATTTAAAAGATAGATAGTTGAATTAAGATCTACAAAAAAGTTTATATAAACAATTGCCCAATATCCAGCAGAAAATAGGAAATTTAATATTTTTGTTTTTTCAAGCGAGTCACGGTTTTTTGTTGAACAGGAAGTGACAACTTAAAAAATATTTGATTTATGTAACTAAACATTGCTCCATAGTAAACTAGTCAAAATTTACATCAATAGAAATTAGATTTTGTCATTGTTAAAACTATTTAAAGAGGAGTATTGGGTGTACAAAGACAGCTAAGTTCTGTTTTTAAAAAAATCCATAACTTATTTGTGATTTTTTTTTTGTTATCATCCTTTAACATCTGTCCCACTTTTAGAAAAACATTCTCCTTTAATAAGCTTTGATTCTATATTAATAAAGTTGGGGTTTATTAGGAATTTTTTTTTAAATTCATCTCAAGTTACGTAAAGAAATTTGATTTTCTATTCCGTTACCTTGAAGTGCCCGTGTTTTTTTAGCAAAAATGACTACAAGTAACTACTGCAAAGCTTTTATTTCTTGTTTTTCCGTGATATGGGGTGTATTGTAATAAACATAATTTCGTAAAAACGCATTGTATTGATTAATATAAACAATTAAAAATAATGATTTTTTAAATATTTTCCATGTAAGGTGATTGGTTATGAAATTATGTTTGTTTGCTAGTATTTTGTCATAGCAATTAATGCGTGTTTATAAGTGACAAACTTGATGATTCTTACTAAAATTTAAGTTTAAAGCAAAGAAACCTAGTGATTCCTTCAATTATTTTCATGAAAACTTGAATATTACTGCTGGAAACATTAAGTTTGTCACTTATAAATACGCATAAATTCCTATGACAGTAATCTGGGAAGGAGGGTGTGAAGCACAATTTCATATACCATCTTACATGGAAAATATTTGAAACATCATTGTTTAAATTTTTTTTTATTTTTATAAATAAAATGTATTTTTAAGCAATTATGTTCATAAGAATTTACTCTTCATTAAAGTTTATTAAAATACATTCCGTATCATAGAAAAACAAGAAATGAAAGCTTGGCAATAGTTAATAATAGTCACTAGTGGATCCAAGATTTAATTTTGGGATTTAATTTTTGGGGGGAGAGGGCTTCAGCCCGAAAGCTTTTTTTTCATAAAAATAACGATAATTACTTCGGAAAAAAAGAGAAAACTAACTACCTATATGGAATGGTATTTAAGTGATTCCTAAAGTCCTTTTAAATGTAATTACACGAACAATAATACTTTAAGCGATAATTTTTTTCCATAAAACATGCTTATATTTTACCATTTGGGGAGGAGGGGGGCTTCAGTCCCAAAGCCTCCCCTCCCCCGTAGATCCGCCCGTGATAGCAGTCATTTTTGCTAAAAACATCGGTACCTCTAGGTGACTGGAAAAAAAAAAACTTAATTTATTTATACAACTTGAGGTGAATCTCAAAATTTTGGCTAATAAACCTCAACTTAATTAGTATGGACTTGGAGTTTATTAAACGAGGAAGTTTTTCTAAAAGTGGGATAAATTTAGTTCAATTAAATGATTGAGTGAAGGATGATAAAAAAAAAAAAACACAAATAATTTATGATTTTCTTTTAACGTAACTTAGCTGTGTTTGTCTACTCAATAGTCCTCTTTAAATAGTTTTAACAATGACGAACTCTACTTTTGTTTAAAGTAAATTTTTTTCTTGTTTACTATTGGTTGAAAACTGTTTAATTTAGACCAGCAAAAATGTTTCGCTTCATTCTAAATGTAAAATGTATTTTTAACTACAAATCCCAAATTTATTACCTTGTTACTCCTTAAAAACTTATTTATATTTTCTGATCCTTGTACTTAATAATACATTCTTTATGTGTCTCTGTTTTGTTTCTTCTGCTAATTATGTTCCTACAATTATCACTCACCGTAAATCCTAGTTAACACACATTTTTCTACTATATTGACCATTCTCATCCCCCATAAATTTACACAGCTCTTGCAATAATTGATTTAACATTAATGTCAATTTAGGGGTGATAAGGTAGTTAAAGAATTGATATAATATGAGTTATAATAAACATTATATAAATATTGGTCGACTATTAAAAATAATATCAGTTATGATTACTAAAATTAAGCCTGTAATGGTAAACTCCAAGCCTGCATTTAGATTAGCACCCCAGTCGCTGCACGTGACTTACTGCAAAAAGGAATTTCAACTCCTACGTGCCCATGTAAGGGTTCTTTTAATGAGGATAAATGGAACTTGATTCAAACATTCAAACAAATCTATATATTTTAGGTGAAATAGGAAAATTATTTTTTGTATTTATAAAACCAAATAATATTTGTATATTTAATAATTGTGGATAAATAGTTAACTCGACTTATTATGAAAATGAGCTACTTCCATTATTGTATAAAACTTTTATACCGTTTGCAAATCAGAAATGAAAGAGGTAAAAAATGTTATTTTAAACTATAAGATAGTTAAATAAATTTAAGTAAATTCTCAAATTAATTAAATTTTAAAACTGCTTTCTTGAAAATTTATAATTTTACCAAGTTATTTCTGTTGTACTCGAACCGTTCAACTTAAAAAACTACCCTTTGACGTGATGTTTTACAGTACATTTTTAGTCATTTCTCTTATATTTCAGATTTTTAGACTTTGGGCAATACTATAGAATAATAAATAAGAAATTAATAAAAAAATATAAACCAATAAAATATTTTTTCTTTGAAAATTATAAGATTCTTAAATTCCTGTTAATTTTTAAAAAAAATTCTTGTCTCTATTTAGCTACTAAAGTATTATTTTTCAAGGGCCCTCAATGTTCTTATGTATGTGCATATTTATATGTGGGCCTAAAGGTGTATATTTATTAATGTTTTACCACTGTATATAGGTTTATTTGTTTTGTATATAGTATGTTTAACTAATGTTTTCTTTTTCTTTTTTGTTTTTGTTTTTATTTAGGCCAGATGTATTTAATTTTGTACTATTCTGTTATTCTAAAGGGACTTTGTCCCAGATTAAAATTATTTTCTATTCTATGGTATTTTCAAGAATATAAAAGCCCTTATACTTCAAAGATTTATTCAAATTCAATGACTTTGAATTCTCTTTTTTCAAGTCTTGACTGCTTTACAATGACAACTGTTAAACAAAAAAACTATCACCAAACAACGTTTTAGATTATTTTTAGCAATTAATCATAAAAAAAAACAGTTATTTTATTTTATTTTATTTTAAAACAACTATTTAATCATTCTAAAAATATTTCAAATTTTTAAATCAATGTAGAAAAAGATATAGGTACAATGAAATTAATTATTTAAATCAAAAATATGTCTTTAAAATATCATGTGTTCAGCATGGGGTGAGAATGATCATGAACCCATGTGGCAATAGAAACTCCGCAACTGAAAGGAACTTCAGATAATGTTAGGTTTGTTAATATTTTCTTTTGATTGAAAAAATCATTAAAAAAAACTTTCCTTGATCCTCAGGACTTTTATAAGCACCACTACAAGCAATATTGGTAATCAGTTTAAGGAGATAGCTAGAGTACAAGGTATTTTGCCAATAGAACCAAAATTACTCAATATAACAAAATATTCTTCATTTTTATTTTCTACATAGAAATGTTGGAAATATTAGGAATGAAAATGAAAAAATAAATGACTGAGAACAGTTTGGGAATTAAATTCCAACTTTCCCTACATTTAGCAATTCTCAACCATTGGCCATCCTCTTGACTGTCATAAAAAATAATTTGTAATATATTAGACAATGGTAGATTGAATTGATAGGTGTGCTTCTCCACCCTAGGACTGTGGCTGTTTCTTCTGAACATAGCTCAAAATGATAAAATCTTAACAGTAAATTTTATTAAATTTTCTTAAAAAGTATAACTTTAGCATTGGATCAAATCTTTTCTGAGTTGCTCTTATACTTATGGAATGGAGCAGTGCTGAGTTTAGAAACTTGCCGTAACTTACTAGAATTCACCATTCTGGAAATATGCTGCGGATTTAAAAAAAATTAAATTTCAATCTCAATGTATGCAATCTTATAAATTTTTATGCATACTCATATCTATGGAGGATAGAGCTAGGAATATTTTCCTCCTCTATGACTGCCATATAATTTATATATATCTTCTTTCTCTAGCATGTTCTCAAATGATTGCTCATAAACATTCTTTTCTCAAACATAATTCCCTGACAAACCGCACTGTTTGTATGTTGGTGACTACTAACACGATAGTTCATAAATTTTTTTTTATTGTTCTTAACTTTAATGATTTATATCTATATGCAATAAATAGTATAGACAAATGTATACAATAAGAGTTTATGGATTTAACTTGATAACAGTTATTTTAATTGATATTGTTTTTTTCCGTGCTGGTTTCACCATAACAGGAAACGGGGCATGGCCAAATCCATCTTCTCAAGCTCACGAGGCTCCTAAGATTAGCAAGGATTCTCCAAAAGATGGATCGATACGCACAGTATTCAGCCATGATCCTTACTTTACTCATGCTATCGTTCACTCTTTTGGCACACTGGCTTGCTTGCATATGGTTCGTCATTGCAGAGAAAGAGCGTGCAAGGCATGCAGAGGATTGGGATTTGGGTAATTTCATAAATATCAAATAATAGAAATTTTTATAATTCTTGTACTGTTCATAATATTAAATAAACTCTTTCTTGATGAACACTTTTGTTTTAACATTAATCCGATGATCTGCTTAGATTAATGTTCCCAAAGATTCTTGGATTTCCAATCATTAAATAATTTTATGTTTTAAATATCTCCATTTGATTCTCCTGCCAGTAGAAATATTTATATTTTAATGAAAATCTAATTAGTTTACATTAAAATTCTCTTTGCTGTTAATTGTTTACAAAATTTCACTAAGGTTTCTTGTTATTGTCATCTTATATATTAAGAAGGAGAACCACCTCAAATTTTGATATTACATTCAAGTTTAAATAGTTTATTACAAAACTATTATTTGTAATACCATTTTCATTTTTGTATAAGTAACTCTCTCTGCGGAATATTTGTGATAATTTTAAGGGATTTGTTCTTGAAATTGATACAATATTTATGGTTGTTTTTATAACCAACTTAAATACCAAATTTTTAATTTCATATTTTGCAATAAAGAAATATGAAATTTAAAATTATTCTCTATAAAATAAATAATCATTATAAAAAACAATTTTTTCATTGTTGATATAGAGTTTTTCTTCAGATTCATTCAAAGGCTTGCATACACTTGGAGAATGTTCATGTAGATTTTCTAAGTATTCATGAAGATTATTTCCTATCCACATAGGTGTTTGCCAATTCTTTGGTGTATGCAGCTTTAGATGAATAACCTGAAAGATAATGATTTAATTTAAGCGCAATTAAAATTAAATAATCTCCTTTTAAGCTTTTCCTGTCTGCTATCAGTTTAAATTAGCTAACACCTTCTAAGGCTTTTCAGGCTTGTTCCTCATGTTGGGAATAGGCAGAAACCCAGACTTTAGCCGAAGAAGTTGAGCTGAACGCATTGTAAACATTTTAGTTTGTTTTGATTCAACACCATTCTATACTCCAACTAGATCATAAACTGCCTATCTGCATGATGCCAATTTACTCTGGTCAGGGTAGGAAGTCAAGATTTATTGTTTGAAAATGCAATGTAAAAATCATTTAACATTCACCGCTTTTGGCACAATTGTACCTGACTGAAGCTTTAACAAGCATATCTATTGAGGCCTCACAGTTATAACATTAAAAAAGACTTACTACTAATTACAATTTTGTGCAAAATAAGCCGAGTAAAGACTTATTTTTCATTCTGTACAACACTGCAGTGAGTACTGGACTTGGATGAAATACATTTTTTTTTAATTGTTTGCAATGTTTTTCACGAATAAAAGTTTGATTATTATTTTAAGGGTTGTAAGTTCTGAAGGGTCTCAAAGAGTCAGTATTAATAAATGATCAGTCATTACTGGATAAATTATCATTATTTTAGATGTATTTGAGTTCTGATCTGATTAGTATGGTTTCTGCACTAAAAATAGTTCATGCACTATCTGCTGTACTTAACTGCTGGTCACAAAACTTTACTACTTAGCACCCATTCACTTTTAATTATTTATGTTAATACTATAGTAACAATTTAAACATTCTTCAGTCTCTAGAAATGATTTTCTGATATGAATTGAAAGCACGGCATCTCTTCAGATTTTAGTAATTAACTTATTGATGTAAGGACCAATGATTATTCATTAAGGTCCTTAAATATTTGGATGAATGTAGAATATTAATTTTATATTTAAATTTAAAAATTTAGACAATGGAGTATATCTAAAATTAATGATAGACAATTAATTTAAATATCAGTATAAGTAATTTAAATTCAGTGTATTAATCTATACAGTTAATTTTTTCAAATCTAGGTTGGATCCATGCTCTTGCTGAAAGACTCAAAGTAGACATAGACAATGTCTCTCGGTCAGAAAGTTACATTACAGCTCTGTACTTTACTTGTTCTTCATTGACAAGTGTTGGATTTGGAAATGTTTCAGCTAACACAAGTCCTGAAAAAATATTTAGCATTCTAACTATGCTCATTGGAGGTAAATAGAAATATTACATAAAATGCTCTATGAGAATTATTTTTGTATATTTTCTCTTTCTTTTTGTTTAGCATTGATGCATGCAGTGGTATTTGGGAATGTCACAGCAATAATACAACGAATGTATTTACGTCGATCACTGTATCAGACGAAATGGAGAGATCTAAAAGATTTTTTAACTCTTCACCAGATCCCTAAAGTTTTGAAGCAAAGGATGCAAGACTATTTTCAAACTATGTGGTCACTTAACCATGGAATAGATATAAATCAGGTATTCTGTTTATAAAAATTTATATGGCAGATTTATTACATGTAACAATAAAAAAATTACATAAGTCATAGCAAATATAAGTCAGTTGGATTTTCATTTCAAGTAGTTTTTCTATTTAAAACTGGAATAGTTTTATATACATATTTTTTGTTTTCTTAATCTTAGACATGTGATTTTAATAGTTTCTTATTATTATTTGCAGCACTCAGAGGTAAAACATATCTAACATTTTTTGTTAATTAAAATTTTTTCAAACAACTCCCATTTTATTACTTTCTGATCTCTCTCCATTATTGCTGATAAACCTGAAAATATTGGTCGCATTCATATTAATTTATATATATTTTTTTTAGACGTTAAGAGAGTTCCCTGAAGAACTGAGAGGGGATGTCTCTATGCACTTACATCGGGAGATCTTACAGCTTCCTATATTTGAATCTGCTTCCCAAGGCTGTTTGAAATTATTGTCTCTGCATATTAGGTGAGTGATTATTAGGGACTGGATTTTCATATAAAATACAAATTTTAATATGCACATATATAAGTATATTTTTAGAAGTATATAATAAAATATGAGAAATGTGTGGGAATAGAATTCTTAAAAGTTAATAAAAAAAATCTGGTGCATGCATAACACAACTTTCACTTACTGCTCTTCTTGGAAAATCAATTCTTGTCTGGCAAAATTGGTCTATTACAAGAAGTTTTTGAAAAGCATCTTTAATACAGCTAAAATTTTAACAACATATTTTTGGATTTTGTTAATATTCATCAATAAAAAACTCATTAAGAACGCCACAATAACACAAACCCTGTTTATAATATCGATTGTAGCCTATAAAAACCTTAGATGTAGCTGAATCAGTCTATTTGAATTACATAACTCCACTCTCTGAGCTCTGTAGACTGAAAGAGATTTGAATATTTAATTATGAATAAGTAAGGATCGTACTACATAGTAAAAATTATAGTTACTAAATCTCTATCACTTTTCACATGTATTTAAATTCATATATTTTATCCTTGGAAAACATACAAAAATACAATTACTTGCTTTAAATGTAGCATCAGTTGGTCAAAAGTCACACTCATTGTAAGTATATATTGTTCTGATTTCACAAAGGGAAATTTTTTTGGAATAAATCAACGATGTAACCTAATTATTTAAATATGATATTGAATTTGGAGTTATTAAACTACAGTGAATGTATTTAAGGTTATAAGCATATGTTTTACACATCTATGAAATATTTTTATATTTCACTTCTTCTTTCACATAAATACTTACAATGAAATAGTTTTTCAAACATTGTCATTGGCTTGATTCGGTGGATTTTGAATAATTTTTTAAAACTTAAAAAAAAATTTTAATTTTAAATTTACTAACTAAATTTCATTTAATTTCCTTGGAATTACGATTTCCGTTAAATAATATTAGTTTTCACAAACTATTATTTATAATTTTTTATCACTCTGCATTACGTTCTACAACTTTCTATATTAGATATTGTTTTTTTCTAAAATTCTCCGCAACGATATATTATACTTATACCTTCTGACTAGTATTTCTTGAGATTCATTTTCGACCTAACTAAACATTTTCTCTTTTTTCTCCAGTTTCCAATCATCAAATTCTTTCATACTTTATATTTAGCCATTTTTTATAGTTGCTGTCAATAAGAAAGAGTTAATTTTATAAAATAAACCAAATTAAAATTACATTAGAGGAAGACATATATGAACATTGGGCATTTAAGTCATGTAAAGTGACATTAATGTGGATAAGACCTAGCTGATATTAAAAACAACTTAATAATACACTGAAATACTTTGTTTGATCAAAATCGTTGGAGCCGTTTTCAAGAAAATCATAAAAATGTGTATAATCGATTGTATAAAGTTCCACTTCCGGTTAGCCGATTTTGACAAAAAAGTTAAATAAAAACCTTAAATATGCAATTTCACTTTTATACGACTTTTCATTTTTGAGTTTTGAGCTAGACTGGTCAAACATACATACACACACATAGAGCTTTTTGTGGGACTTGGTTATTTGGGCTCAGGATACCTCAAAACATGTATTTCCACAGAAAACTCAGATTCAAAAATTTTCATGATCGCAATACTGTCCCTTACTATATATTTCATATATAGGTAAGTAAGAAATAAAAAATTAAAAAGCCGAATATTTAAAATATTAATGCAGTGTTAGATGATAATATAATTTTTATTCTATTTTTAATAATTACTTTTAAATAATCTGATTGCTGTGAAGACATTTAACTATATTAATGATTTGATAAATTTTAATATACATTATTTTTATTGTAGATCTAACTTTTGTGCACCTGGTGAATATTTAATTCATAAAGGAGATGCTCTTGCTTCATTTTATTATTTGTGCAATGGTTCGATGGAAGTAGTGAAATACGACATGGTTGTGGCTATACTGGGTAATTACTTTATTATTTTTTTTATATAATATTATTACCCAATATTATAAAAAATTGTGTATAATATATATATAATAATAATGTATGATAAATATACTATGTAAGTATCTTGTTTTAAATAACATTAAGATTGGTGACATACCAGATACTAAGTTATACACCTTGAAATATTGACATGAAATTATTTATAAAAATGAATGTCCCATGATAAAAAAAATGAAAAGATTGATTAAAAATTACATGTAATGATTTGTTCCTGTTTATCTTAGCCATTTTCAAAAATTACAATACAACTCTTGGTGGTACCTGTTAACATTTTTTTCCCATTATATTTTTAAAATAAGGGTTATCTTTATTTTGATAGTCATTGTTATGTTGGTAAAATCAATCTTTCATGAATCTGGCATATTCACCATAACAAATAAATAATAAACCATGGGTATTTTAAACAGATAATTTGATATACCGGGGCCAGAGTAGCTGTACGGGTTCAGGCACTTGCAATAAGTAATCAAAGTTAAGCAACATTGAGCATAGTTAGTACTTGGATGTTAGTAGTCCCTCCTGAGGTTTGGTCCATGAACATTCTGTTTCGGAGATAGAAATATAGGTCCTTGTGTACCTGCTGATTCTGAGCAGCCTTAATCCATGGATCTAAACCACTTTGTCAATGTCCTTGCATCCGAGTGAGTCAGTGGGAATGACACTGCTAGATTGACCCCAAAGGGATCGGCTATGGAGGTTACGATGGTCTGCCGCTGAATCATGGAGACCCTGGTGCCCCTTCAAAACAACGTGAGGTTGGGTGATCTCCTCCAGGCTATCTGTGCTCCTGCAAGCAAAATACGGCTGTAAGGAGACCACATCTCGCAGCCAAAGATCTTCATGATCTGCGCAAAGGGAAAAAAAAAAAAATTTATATATCATTTTTGCATTTTTAATTTGGTCTATTTAATCTTTTGTATTATTGTATGATTGGCATACAATGTTATTTAATTAGCAGGAATGGTTTATTATTCCTTTCATGTAACTTAATATGTTTATACACTATAAACTTTATACACTTTTTATCCATTTCAGTACTTGATATTATGGATTGTTGATAATTAATTTCAAAACAAAAAGCTAAAATAAATGGTCATATTTCATGCGAAACGCAAACCTGAGTATAGGATGATAGTTGATATCTATTTAATTGTAATAAAAATAACAGTTTTATTTCCTAAATTACTGAGAGTTGAAAATGTATCATAATTGGTGAAAATAAATTCTTCAAAAACCCACTTAATACACCCTTGAGTGTCCTAATACTTCGCAGTATTTGTTTAAAACAAAACATAAATAATTATTATTTTAATTTTTTTTTCTTTAAGTAATAAACTATAATATTACTTAAATAAACAGAATATAATATAATAATTTTTCTACTTATTTCAGTTTGTATTAAAATCATTTCTTGCATTTAATTTATGTTCATTTGAATATTTTTATTCTATGAGCAGGGAAAGGTGATCTCGTTGGATGTGACATATCTCAGCATTTAAGTGGAGCCAACAATGGGCTAGGAGAAGTGGTAGTGAAATCGAGCTCTGATGTGAAGGCCCTTACTTACTGCGATTTAAAGTGTATTAACATTCAAGGGCTTATTGAAGTTTTAAGGCTTTACCCGGAATATCAGCAAGAGTTTGCCAGGGATATTCAACATGACTTAACATATAATCTAAGAGAGGGTTATGAAGCCGAGGTAAATACCAGTATTTTTCCTTATAGTTTGGTACTAGACACTAATTTCTAGATACTTCAGCTTCCTGAGTATTGTGTCCTCATTTATAGATTTTAAAATAAGCATTTTTATGGAGAAATAACTTTTGTTAACATTATTCTATCTTTCATATTTATCATTCTGTATTCTGTTTCTTGAATAATTAACAAGCCATCCCCTTATCTTATACCTGTATTTATCTCGAAAGGTTTAGAAATTTTTCCCAATAATTTCACTTTTTTTATACTAATTTCATAACAAAGTGCCAATCACAGGATCACATGAATATATTTTTTCAAATTATTACAATTGCTTATTTATTTTATAATGATTAGCATGCCAACTTTTAAACCCATTGCTTATTATGTTTAATTACACTGCAAAATGCATTCATTTCAGGAATCTGATATGAATGGCTTACCATCTCTAACACTTCCTTCAATCTCAGAAGATGATGAGAATGCTGCTGATGATGGAGAAGATTCACCACTATCCCCACCAAATAGGTCACCATTGGATGCAGTTTCTCCCCGGCATGGAAGACTTAGGCAAGTTTTACATTAAACAATTAAATAGTTTGTTAGTATTCCATCATAATTCTGATACAATATCTTTAAAAAATGAAATTGCAAACTTATAATAACTTGAAATTAAAATAATATTTCTTTTTACGTGGGTCTCCAGCATTTCCTGAATATTGATGTTTTTTCATATAACAGTAAAGAGTAGGACTAGGAGGACCTACATTATTGTCCAAGTTATTAAAGGTCATCTGCACGCTTCCATTCTATTCTTGTACCTCTACTTTTCCTTAGATAAACCATAAACTACACTAAACAATGAATTGAAATTATTCAATATCATTTATAGTCCTAAATCTAAATTGTACAAAACCAAAGAGATTAGTCCTCAATCACCCTAAGAATCTAAAGGCCTTTAAAAATGATGAATATATTCCGATAAAATTGGAGAATCACTGGTCAAACCTTAATCTATATTTCACACCAAAATCTTATCCAATAAGTTAGGAAAGCAACTCATTCAAATTTTACTATAATTCTGGTATTCTGTTTTTATATTAGGAGGAAGATTTAGTGTTGAGCTCAGTAATTCTTCAACATTTATAAAATAAAATCCACAGATCTGTTAACTATATATTTCCCATTGGCACCGTGTTGGGTCAACTTAGAGATGATGAGAATTGTTCCAATGTATCTTTATAAATTTATATTAATTATTATTTTTATAGACATAATTTAATTTGTAATATTTTGGTAGAGAAAGGATAAGTGGTGGCAGTGAAATAAGCCGAGACCGTCTTAATAACCAAGTGACCTCTCTGCATCATGATGTTGCTACACTTAGTCAAGAGGTATTTCTCAATTGAGACAGATTATTTGATAATTAAGACATTCATGTAGATAAAAATTCGTATCATATAAATAAAAAAAGTCACAGTTCAATTATTGATCCATGTATTTGATGTATCGAAAATATATTATAATATCAGCTGGAGTGAGTAAGCATGATTAACAATGTTTATTTTGACTAAAATAAAATTGTAATATTAAACTGGATCAGTCAACAATTATTTTGCAACAGTCCTGTTCAATAAATTTTTACGTTTCTATTGTGGTTAATTAAGTAACCCTTAGAAATTCTTGTCTGTCTATGGATAGCAAAAAGCACAAACTGACCCACTCATCAGACTAGTTGCTCAGACTAATACTGGTACCAGGGGCACTACAACACCTGGTTTTAAGTTATATGAGAGATAGATAAATCAACTAACTCCATAGACTTGAATGAGCACTTCCCTTATAAACTATTCAGTTCCTTATTAAATAATCCTTAGTAAATGTTTATCTATATATGTTTTTCTTCCTTTTAACAGGTGAGGAATGCTCTTCATGCTCTTCAGGAATTGAGGTATCCTTATCCATTGCCAGCTCACTCTAATCCTAACTTGCCTTCGGCTCATGGTGGGATATCTACTGAGATTCTCAGATCTTCATCTCAACCACCCGAGACATTCAGAGGAGGTGTCGATTGGGGTAGAGCAGAAGCAGCCACTCAGACAGATTCTACGCTTGAAGTTATAAGGTTAACAATTCTGAAATGGATGTTTTCTTTCAATTACTTCTTCTGCTAAGAAATAAACTTAGCTTAGTTCTACCAAATACAATAGAAATAAGCGGGATCTATGTCTATTTAAAGTGTAGATGCTAAGGATTACACTGTGAACACATTATTCTTTCATAGTATTTTATTTAGTATTTATATTCAGTATGACTGAAGATTCCCGAATCTTGAAAAATTATAGGCAAATATTTATGTACATTTAGAATTCATGTTCCATATCTATGGAGAGGATATTGTGGCAGTGTTTTGATATAGCACCCTGCCATGCTTGCTTAAGAAGCTGCTTACTCGGCTAATCTCCATTCCTTCAATGTTGATCTTTCCATTGATATTTTCCAAGAATTCCATTGATGCTGTTTCGTATTTTCAAGTTATATTAATTATTTTGTCCTAAAATAGATATTTATAAATTATTAACAAATCTAAATGTTATATTGATTATTCAAACATTTAAAATAATTAATTCCATTAGTCATTTATTTCAAATTAAATTTCAGATGTAGAATGTTTGTGGCTTCTCATCCTGAAACAGTCCTTAGATGGCTTGGTTTGGATCCTAGTGAGCTACCTCTCTTGCCGGTCGAGGAAGGCCCCCAAGAAGATGAGGAAGGCGCAGAATATGAAGAAACCAGATGGCCTGATATTTGCAATCCATCAAATTTCTTCTCTAGGGCCCATTCAGTTGATAGTGGTGATACTCGCCCCTTTAGGAGATCAGTCTCTTCAAAATCCTTGAAACTTTCACCAAGCTGAATTTGCTAGTTAGTATATTCAATTAAATTTTATGTTTAATGGATACTATACTTTTTCAGCATTATCATAAACAAAGAATCTGAATGTGTAAATGCTTTTATGCTTAATGAAATACATTATTTTTTTTTAAATCACCATGAAGTGGATTGAAATATTTAAGATTTTGTCTATCTCTGTATATTTTATAAATATATATACATGAGTTCAATTAAGAAGAAAAATAGAAAGATTGTTATTAAAACAACTATTACATTTTGTTTTAATAAATTAATTTAATCTGAAAAATTGATTATTGGTAACCATTACTATGTAACATATTTAAAAAATCTTAAATAATTGTTTAAAGGAATTAACTACTCCTTCCAAGACTACTATTACATTTTACATTTTAAAATCGACAGATAACTTTGTGAAAAAACAAATAAATAAAACGCACTCATTTATTAAAATTATTCTCAATAAATAATAATGGTTTTTAATTACAACATAATTGCATAGTAAATTCTAACATGAATCTATTCATTTCTGGCTAGCTTTCAGATTGACCAGTTTGACAAACAAAGAAGGGAATGAAGACTCAAGAATCCGAGGTATATATAAGTTGATAGATATATGCGTTGACCAAAGGAATGGATGGACCTAAGTACCTGTAGAAAAGAAAGTGAAATGAAATGTATAATATGAAATAGGTTATTTTATATTTCAAATCTTTGTATAAAAAAAAAAAGGAAAGAAGAAATCTTATGAATTTCTTTATTTTAATTTATGTCAATTATTAAAAATTGTTAAAGGCTATATTGTTAATTTATCTGGATATTATATATTGTAAATAAGCATTTAATAAAGTAGTAAAGGATCTTAATAGGTACTAATTGATTTTTTAAAATGTTTACTGATATATTTTACAAAATTATAAATATTTTATTTTCATGTCCTATTGATAATTATGAAATATGTTTTAATATATTTTATTTGTTGGCTGTATAATGAGGCGATTTTAGTAGCTATTTTTCATTCTAAAAACCATCAAAAGAATAAAATAAGAAATGAGGATTCTGCTAATCAGCTATTACCTTACATTCTAATAATGAAGTTTTTAGTTTAATCTTTTTTTTAACAATCATCGAGTTTTTTAATGAAACCAAATATATTAAAATACTTGTGCTATGGATGGTTCACCAATTGAAACAAATTTTTATTTTGTTCAACCAGCTTTGTAGATTTTTACCAGTCAATGTTATAGTGGAGGAGATCATTTAACTTTAAATTGCTATTATGCCATGATTTTTATGGCACAGCAGCAGTTCGCCCCGACACTTAACATTTAGCTTTGACGCTGCCCGTCATATGTAGCAAATGAAGTTTTATTAGCATTGTTCTTTCTACTTTATTACATATGTATCCCATCCCAGGCTAGATTCAAGGACGACAATGTTAGCTGATGGGATTTGACTTTATTGCTGTCATTGAGAATCATCTCAACAATCTAAGGTATCTCCTCTAAGGGCAAATTGTAAAAATATCTCCACTTTGATTTAATTATTTAACCAATATTTATAAACTAAATCTGTGTGAAGCTTTGTTCATGATATTGTTTCATGTTTTGAGTCGGGTTGCCCTGACGAGATACAACTGAGGTAGTTAGCCCCAGAGGGTTTCGTTTTAGTTTCCCTACACCTAGCCTTTATCGGTGTAGGTTAATCCAGCCGTACCACGAGGAGGCACGCATCCCTGAGAGCTTTAGATGGAAAGGAAAAGGTGCTCTTAGGGATGCCGAAACATCAACGGGAAAGAAGCGCTCCAAAAAGGGTGTTGCGTGGTCTGAGGAGAGAAAACATAAACACGCGGAGCTCATGAGGGGCATATGGGAGAAGAGGAGGCAGATGAAGAGGAAGCATTAACTTCATGGTATTCGCGTGATCTTTAAGGCCTGTTCGTGAAAAAAAAAAAAACTAAATCTGTATATTCATAAAATTAATGTTCTGTATTCTCTTACAACACTGAGACACATAACCTGTTCCTGTAAGTTGGGTATCTGACACTTTAATGGGCTGGAGAATATTTCATTTACATAATTGCAATATTAGCTTTGAAATAAATTATTAAAATGGATCAAATGGTTTTAAATTTTGTTTGAATGTGTGAATCACCAAACAAAACATGGCACAAAATTTGTTTTCTTAATTATTTAATCCAAATATTTTCATTAATATGATTTTTTAATCATAATATCATATATAATTGCAGCTATCAAAATCTAGTTCTAACAATTATTTATATTACCTTAATATAAAGTCAAGCTGAGTAGACTTAACAATCTCTCTAGAAAATTCCAGTAAATATTCTATTCTTAATTATGTACATAATAACTTCTGCTTCATTATTCCATTACTTACATCATTAAAAGACAATTGAGAATAAAATCAATCCACTTCTGTAAAAGTATTGTTTAAAAAGAATATTTAGGAGGTTTGTCTTGTAAATAAGTCAAATTTTATTTAAAATGTTAATTTATAACTCCTATTTGAAAGGGAAAAATTGGATTTTTGAAATAAACTGAAGATTTTTGTATATAGAATTTCAATTAGCTAAATCAACAGTATTTATTTGAATTGGATAAATCAATTTTTGAAAGAATGCTCCTCAATTACTTATCAATGTGTGTATGCATGTACAGAATCCAATGAACTGAAATTATACATATTTCCAGACATATCAGTTATTTCTTTTTTGGAACGATTAATATGGTATATTATTAATTTAGCAAAGACAATTATATCTATAGCATTCAATTGTTTCATTGGTATCTGCTAACTAAAGGAAACAAAGTTGTTGTTTTTTTATAGAACTCATTAATTGGCAAATGAGAAGTCCAATAGAAAAATGATTTTAGTCCATTTTTTGTGAAAATCCAAATGGCAGTGCCATCTTGTGAGGAATGAGAATTACTATTACACTATGAGATCATTTCTACTCATAATGATCTCAATCACAGTAAAAAAAAATAGAAGAAAATATATTCAGACGAGTTTTTAGTACACTCATGCCTTAGGAAGAAATTTTTATATCCTTTTTACCATAATTATTTGATTGAATCTTGCACAACTCTCCTTATTATTGCAATCCCATTAAATTTATGAAAATTATAGAAGAATTTAGTTTCATTTCTTTCCCTAAAATGGATCTGTTAATTTTTGTAGATAATAACGATTGTGTACTAAGATTTTTGGATATTTTCAATTTTTTCACATCCTAATTTTTCTTTCCATAAACTTTTTTTTGTGATCAAAATGATTGCTAGTAGTATAAGTGTTTAAAAGATAATTTTCATAACCATAAAATTGTGAAAATTTATTATGTAATCAAAAGTGAAATGTTAATTTAAATTTTATCCATGTAAATATTTTGTGACTAAAATCTTCCTTCTCATAGACTCTTCAGATATGAATGACAACTTTGTAATTATCTTAACACACTGTATGTGAGCTAGAGTTTATTCAACCTTAGTCAATATTTTTCAAATTATAATTGCTGATGTAGTGTATACACACCATAAAGCTTAACTTTAAATGGTCATATATTTTATGAAATAAGCCTTAAAATTTGTGTTAGCGTAGTAGCTTCAATACTTACATTAAAGAAGCATATTCACACTATATGCACCTGTCTTTTATACCATATCTTTGAGTGCATGAAGCATTTTTAAAAACCAAATTTTTCAAAATGAAAATGGATTAAAGTTTTAATTTCTTGAGTTTATTGATTCAAAGCCACTCCTTGAACAAGGGCTCAAGAGAAACCTTCTTGGGCCTTTAGGGAAAGGTTTATTGCTAACAGAAGTTTTTTAAATAAAAAATAATATTGTTAAAATTATTTCTTACAAGGCTTAAATTTGTTTGTGCATGAGATGTAATTTAATTTTTAAATACTTAACTTTCTAATTTTCCCTTTACAATTACCAGCGTCCCGGGAGAATAAAATACATTATTTTGTTGTTTTATTTATTTTTTTCATTGATGTTTTGACATACCGTACAAAGAAGGTTTATTTTAATGAAAACAACATGATACTTTTTAAATAAGAGATGTATAGAAAGCTTTTCATAAAGAAAAGGCTACAAAAATTATACCCTGAAAAGATTTGCATACAGTGTGTTAGTAGCATACTCTAAACATGTTTAATAGGAAGTATAAACAGTGTCAGAAATATCTTATTTGGTTTTTTTTTTTTTTTTTATAAATATATAATGTAATATATATATTTATAAAAAAATTGTAAAAAGAATAAATAAAAATTGCAATACTCTAAGACTATTTTCTACTTTTTAAATCAATACATATTCTCAGCTAATAGATAAGTAACATTATTTTCCAGCAGTTATGTATATGTTGTAAATAGTTATTATAATTAGACAATATTGTGATCTTCCAAATAAAGATGTTTGCCCACTATTGTGATGATGTACCATAAAAAATATTTCCATAAATATTTTTATTTAATGTAAATTGAAATTGATTAAAAATCTTGCATGGGCATCTTAAAAACAAAATATATTATAATCCTTGATATAAAAAATATATATATATATTAGATAATACGCAATGAAGTTGGTCTGTAAATATGTGCAAATATCACCTCCATTGTTTTTACTTTTCATTACATGTATTACGCTTATTTTCATCTAAAAAATGAAACAATCTAGTCTTTTTCTAATGTATATTTACTTTTATATAAATATTTTTTAGCAAAAAAAAATTAATTTTAAACAGGAAAATTATTGTGCCAAATGTTATTTATTGTTTATGTTTGTTAGGGCTTTATGTTTCATTCAAGTAAAAAATTTTAACACTGTGTTATATATAAAATTTGATAAATCTAGTTTTTTTCTTATTTCGAGATATTGACTATAGTTTAATGACTGTTAGATATATATTTAATTTTTTTTTAGTTGAATTAAATAATTCAAATAATTATTGGATTATTGAATTTGTATATGTTCAAATACTAAATGAAGTATTTTATAATATTTTTCTACTAAATCATATATAAATCTAAGCTGATATAAAATCATTCCTATTTGTATGTTTAGGAAAATTACTTGTTATATCTTCTCTATCACACCGAAAATTTAACATGCACTATTTTCATAAAAACACCTAACTAATTATTTAAGTTGTTATGTTTACAAAATGTTACAAGAAACTTGAAAAATGAATTACAAATTTAAATGGCTTTATTATTTTGCTTCCCTGTGCCTTAATCTTTACTGATTATAATTCTCAATTAAAGAATAGTAATAATCATTTATCTTCTCCATTTTGATTAGTTTTATTTAAACTGATATTATAAGAAGCTGTAGGATTTTCCATTGGTAAGAAAACCGTCTTCTCATCACCGTATTTTATTATGTTATTTTTAAATGAACTCTTAATAATCGGCTTCAAAAGTTCTCGTGAAAGTGGTATAGGCATTGTCACAATTTCAGATGATCCTAGAATTGGAGATTTTGATGTCTTAGGAACATAGACCCTTACAACCTCTTCTAAAATTTCTCTGTCCAAATGTTCAATATTTGAAGGCATTCTTAAATCTACCTCAATATTATCTTTTTTTGGATTTAAACTGAGTTTGTTCCTACTTTTTGAATTCGTAGATGACAAGGACTTTAATTTTGCCAGCTCAGTTATATCATGCTCTAGCTGCTGAAAAGCTTTTTCCAGATTGGTTATTTTTTGTTTAATCCTTTGACCAGTTTTGAGATTTACATATTCTTCAATCTTGTCAGATGTAAACTGACTTTCTGAGTCGCCATTATACAAATTTTGAGCGCCATTATAAAAACGCTTTTCTCTTATATGATCCTCTTCATTTTCATAACCAACTTTATTTTCAAAAAATGGTTCATTAAAATAGTTACCTCGTAACTGGCTATACTCCCAAGGACAAAATATCTCTTTGTAAAGGTACAAATCTTTCTTTAAGGGAGAAGATTCATCAAATTCATATGTGTTCTCTACCAGTCCTGAAAGATTAATACCATTCAATTTGAATCTCTTGTGTCTTCCCCTCTTCTTCTTATGAGGTTGACAGACCGAACGTTTGGATAAAATATCATGAACATGTTTTCCCTCATTGGTACTGTTGCTGGTAACAATATTTCCAGTAAGACAATCTTGAGCGGATGGAAATGTTTTTGTTATGTTAAGTAGTTTTTTTTCTTCAAAGGTAGGAATTTTTTCATTGATTATTGAAGGGAGGAATCTGAAACTGTGAGAAAAATAGTTCAATCAGATTGTGGAAAAAAATAAGCGAAACCATAATGTTAAGGTTGAGAATGCAAATTTCAAATAAAAATTTTAAAATAAATAATAACTTAACCCTAAATTTTTATTTATAAGAATTGTAAAATATCAATTTTTTCATAATTCTTCATTCACATTTTTTCATTCATAATTTGGCTGTTTTAATGTTTAAAATAACATTTACCTTCTAAGTTAGCAGGCACAAGATTCATTATCTTTTAATTGAATTATAGTATCTGATTAAACAGTATTTGATTGATTAAGATATCTAATGATTTATAGGTTGTAATTTGTAAATAACTAGTATCAACAAAGTTATTTACCTTCCAGTCTGGGTGCATGAAATACAATAGCCATCTAAGAATATAAATAATAAAATTTTAAGTAGCATGAATCAAATCATGTGTTTTAAGAAAAATACTATTTTAGTTACAATACTTTTCAATGACATCTGTAATATTCTCTCCATTATTATCTTCTATTTTAGTTTCACTCAGAAAATTATTTACTACAGTGATGAAGTCAAGCTTGTGTACAGAGACCTATTCTATATAGGAGTAAATCCAGTATTTCCATTAGTTTCCAATTTACTACACCAGTTAAATATGGCCTACTTGCACTGTATAAAATAAGTTAATCATAAGTTTTATAGGGTGTGAAGATGTTTAATGTTTAGTATTAATATTATAAAATATTTTAAATTAACTAGGTATAGTAAAAATAAACAAATATTTGGAGAGTCACAAGATAAATTTGAAATAAATAAAAATGTTAAACTTAAAAGTTGTTTATTGATCATAAAACATATGGTCAAGTCTTATTTTTTAAGTTCATGGATTTAAATTATAAATAAATTTGAAACAAATACTTACAGATATTTATAATAGCAGTATTGTATTTTTAAATACAATCAATATTAAATATAAACACAACATTAAATTAAAAAAAAATGTAATTAATCAATTTATTTACATTAATAGATTTAAGTTGATAAATTTATTTATTAATGATGTTATGTTATACTAACAAAAACAAAATACACTAGGCCCCTGCCAAAGATTGCAAGCTACACAGCGCCACACTAAAAGAAAAACAATTTTAACAAAAACGAAAATGATTGCTGAGCTAACAAAAGTTTTTATTTAATAACCTTTTATACAGTTTATTGATTAACGTAACTAAATTATTTTTTTGAGAAAATTCTGTTATGGTAAGTAAAGGAAATGACTCAACTCTTGTTCCTAAATTTAAACTTCATCCTACATTTATTTATAAATATTTAATAATAATGATTATGAAAATGCTTTTAACAATACATCATGGCAGTCCTAGAATCCCCCTAGAATGGTGATATGTAGCTCAAAAGTAGAGAAATGAGGCCAAGGACTGCTATAATGGTTAATAATTTAAATCTTCATTGTGATGTATCTGTGGCAATATAGCATAGCTGAAACCAATGCATGCTACATCAGGTGGAAAAACTTTTCTTTCATACTCATACCAGCTTATATACCTGATAGCAATGATATGCCAAGGATATATCCGCCATGAATATAATCAAAGTTTCTTCACGGAGTGTGGTCTTATGCTCAGATAACAAATGTTGTCTGGGGGTCCAATTGAACAAACAAAAGGGGTTCTAAAATCTGTAATTTCATAGCAAGGAGCCAGCCAGTAGTAGTGAATGATCTCTTGACTAGTGTCATGTTACATAGCGGCTGGGGCCAGAATTGAACTGACAACATGCTTTTATTGCCGATACTAGCAAACTACATCACTAATTGAGTCTTTGGACCAGAGATGAGTTCCAGAGTGGTGTTCAGTGCTATGGAAAATGCAGTATTGACAAGTTCTCAAGGTATTGACCAGGTTACTCCAATAGGAAATTTGAGTGCCTTCTAGTCTATGTTGGAGAAAAAACTGGTTGGCAATGAAAGGGATGTGGTGGAGACAGATCAGACTGAGAACCTGAATTACAGTTTCCAGGATAACTGATATCATCAGTGGTGCCGCTAAGGAATCCTTTCAACAATGGTCAATGAGAGCTTGACCAGCCCCATGGTGGATGGCAGCCTTAATAATTATGAAGAGAGAGCTCTATAAGGCTTGGTAGTTGTACCAGAGGAGTAGTTATGATAAGAGGCACACAAAATTTCCAGACAAGAACATGTCTAAGGCCAGGGCTTACCAAAATGAGGTTCGCTTTTGAAAGCAGGAGACTTGGAAGAAGTTCATCATTGAGAAATAATTCGAGGACCCTTGGAATATTCTGTACAGTGGAGTATTCTGGCATGTGGTCCTTTGTATGTTGTTTAATATAGGTATGAGTCTACAGCAGGTGATTGCAGCAATGAGTAACAGAGATACAATGAATGATATAATTAATTGAACTTAAAATACTGTTGTATTATTATTCTTTTTTAAATCATCCATTTTTATATTATTTACAGTCTATTTTGTACATGTTGAACCAACTTCTTGTTAATATATGCCATATAAATAATATAATATAATCAAATTGTCAACATTTTGAGGCGTTTAGAATCTTGATAATTTTCTTCACACCTTAAAACAAATCTTCCTAAAATAATGAAACTATTATCATAGTTATTAAATACTTAGTTTCCCTATATTTCATCTGTTCCTGTCTACTGGAAAATTACATGGAAACTACAGTATTTTTTTTTATATAAAATTTCAAAAGTTGCTTTGTATTGAAAGATATAGATGAATACATGCAACAAAAACAAATCTGAAAAATGATTCACAATTTTTCGTAGGCAAGGGGTTTTTCAAACTAAGCAAGCTTTATTTAGGCCTAACTGATGATGTTATATTTATAGATGATTACTGTAATATTTTAAATGATAATATAAGTACAGAATCATGATATGAGAAGAATAAGAAAAAAAAAGTATTTTAGATTGATTATGGACTGTTAAAACACTCATTTAAAGTCAACCATACTGATCTAGAAAGAAAGAGATACATGCATATAGGCATGATTTTTATATTTATGCAAAGAAAAAAATAAACGGATTCAAATTTAGGAACCATTCAATGTAAAAGTACATCATAGTAATTTTATTATAATAGTTTTGATGATGGATGCAGAAACTAAAAATTGCTTAATGTATACCTCTTTTGAAAGAAAAAGTTAACTTATCAATATTTAGTGAAATGTGTAGTAAAGTATCAATGATATTGACTTAAGATAAATCTTAAACAAAGATTATTGGCTTAAATTAAGAAAAAAGTATTTTATTATGGTTCATAATTGGTAATTGGTTGATTGTCGTGGATAATGAAGAGAAGAATAGTTTGGGTGTTCAGTCAAAAAGGAAGGCAAAAATAAATTATAATATTTATATTTTACATATGCCGACGTTTCGACCTGAAGTTCAGGCCTTCATCAGGGCTAAGAAAATAACCAGATAACAAGGTATGAGAAACATAAGTAATGATGGTAAAAAAGATAATAAAAAAACCTTTTACCATCATTACTTATGTTTCTCATACCTTGTTATCTGGTTATTTTCTTAGCCCTGATGAAGGCCTGAACTTCAGGTCGAAACGTCGGCATATGTAAAAAATAAGTATTATTATTTATTTTTGCCTTCCTTTTTGACTGAACATCCCAACTATTCTTCTCTTCATTATTTTATTATGGCTATTATAGAATATATTTTTTAAAAATATTTTATAGACCAAATAAGAACTTCCAAAATTCTATTTTTTTTTTTTTTTTTTTTACTCAAAATAAACATTTTGGGGATTTATCCTTATTATCAGGGGTGCCTTTCCCTTCCTCTCTCCCCCAAGGTTGATGGTGCCAGAACCTACCCCCTCACTCACTCAAGATATTTTATTGCTCACATTTTTAAACAAAAGAACAAGGGAAAGTAGAATTATAAAAATCGTAGATCATACACAATTACACTTGCCGTAGCCTCTTCCACGTTTTCTTCTTGCCCCTTATTCTGAAACTTTTCATTTCAAAAATTTAAAACCCTTAAAAATATGTTCCCCTTAAAAAGTTGGATGCACCCTTGCTCATTTTCACAGGAAAAAATATGGAAGTTCTTGGTTGTTCTGTGATTTAATAATATAATAAATTGCCTATGTAATTCATAAAGAAAGTATTTTTTTTTCTTTGTTTGTTTTTCAGATTTACTCTACTGTGGATCTGTAAATCAAATTATGATTGGAAAATCCTAATTTTTTTAAGATATTATTTTAACAAATTCTTGAGAAGCTAATTTTCGTAAATTGTTATAGTAGGAAGCATTTTATTCTCTCATACAAACAAATATATTTTCAACTTCATATTTGAAATTAATTTCATAGTTAAGTTGAAAGTATGAAGTACTGGTTAGTATTAACTTTGGTAAGTAATGGGTACTGATTCCTGTTTTTTGTTATTATTTGGACTCAGAAGATGGTAAAAGTATCATTTTAGATGAAAAATAGGATTCATAATTCTTAATGATCACAATATTTCGTTTTACTAAATATATAATCTGTAAAGGTCAGCGAAAGCAATATGTATTTATTTTAAAAATAAATATTTTAATACATAAAAACTAATCATTATTTCGTAATGGTTATGTAATATATAAATGATTATATAATTTCAATCAAAACTGATTGCAGTTAAATGTCACGAATAGAAGGGGGACTTAATCTGTAAAGCCAACGCCCTGTTTTTAACAGGCTAAAATAAAATAAAAATTAAAAAAAAAGTCTCATATCTCAGAAAACATAATTACTTCGGATCTTAATGAATAAAATACAGAAACAAACATATATATTTTATGTATATTAAAGAGATTTTTAAACAATGACTGGTAGTCAACACTGGTGGTCCAAAGTGACAGTATTTGATAAGGTTGTTTTGTCAATCTGAAAGGAGGTTAGTCAGTCAAGTATTGTTTGTGATTAAGGTAAGGTTTTGCCGAGAAAGGCCCATTGTTTACAATTTTTGTGAAACATACCGGTAAATATTGTATTTCCTATTAATATCCATTAAATTAGTTTTAAATGATGTGATAATGAATTGCTCCATAATTTTTTGTAAATTAAACATTATATATTTCATTGTAATATTTGAATGATTATAATTTTTTTTTTCGTTTTTAATAATTATATTCAACCTTGTATTACTTTAGAATATTTATTGCTGACACATTTTAATTTTCTAGTATAATAAAGTTTTTCTCTTATTTTAGATTTTATTTGTATGTGTTTTATGTGAATAGAATATAAAGAGAGTAATAACAATTTCATTCCAAATATTTTTAAATTAAACAACAATGATAAAAATAAAATTTTTATGATACATTTAATATTAAATGTTCGTTTTCATAAACAAATAAATAAATTCCAAACAGATCTAAGTAAGTTTACTTAACAAACAAAACAATATATATTTTATAGTAAATTTGCATAAGAAAGTAATAAACTGAAAACAAAGTTTGAAATCCAAAAATTAACAAGGTTTTCAGTGATAGATAACCTCAGCAACAGAAAGTGAACTAAAAATTATGCAACTAAAAGTCTATCCAACGTAACTAAGATATTTGGACATTTTAATGGAAAATATCAACATTTTCCAGCTTGAACCATTATCTGCATTCAAAGCATCAATAGTCAGGCTTGAAACTCAACTTGATATCTATGTTATCTTCAACATTGAGTTTATTTGTCTTTATTCTTGCAAGCATCTTAGATTATTGTTATTAATTGTAGGTTGTGTTTATTAATTTTATTAATGATACATTCAATAATAATTTGAAAAAAAAATATCCTTCGTTGAATATGTTTTAAATATATTGGAACTTTTCTGCTTACCACAGTTTAGAAAGAACTCCTGATCCAGACCTCTCTTAAGCTCTCGAGCTCTAGACATCTTGAGCTTAGTTGGTTGGTGAAATCAGATTGGAATTATAAATAATGTAGTCTTATTTGCAACATGATTAGATTTTTAGGATAAATTTTGTTTAGATTTATTTGAAAGAACAAAAAATTTATTTTGACATGTCACATAAGAGATATAATATAGATGTAATAGATTCAAGGTTTGTTAAATAATAGACAACATTGTCGCCTATGATTATATAATTTTAGCTGGAATGCAAATAAAAGTAAAACATTCAAGGCATTATAAAATATTACTGTAATGCTGTGTTGCACTCATGATTGGAGTTGTAATCCTGATAAATTAAAAAAAAAAAAATAAGGTATTGTTTTGATTTATTTGAAGTTTTTTTGAGTTAGCCTTTTGCTGTGCTAATATAATATAAGTATGAATATAAGTAAAATTATCTGATATCATTGATTAAGTTGTTATTGATATTCTTTAATTAATATCTGACATTTATTAAGACGTTGAATGGTTGAATAATAATGGTTGAAGTGCATATCAGAAAAAGTCTTGATTTTGAAAATTGTTTTCAAAATAATTAGGCACGAATATTGTATTTTCCCTTTGATATCCTCTTTTATAAATAGGTTATGTAGACATGACTTGACAGCCATACACACTTATGTATAATCTGCCCACCTTTTTCTAAAATTAAATGTTAATTGTCAAATGACAATATTTGACTGGAAGCCTTAAAAGGAAAATTGTTACTGATGATATAGTATTGTGCTTCTATAATTGTATAGTGGGGAAGATTGATGGATTAATACTATCGACAATCTGGATGGTATGACAACACAATATTAAAGGATGTTGGTCAAGTATCTCATGTAGGAGAAATAAATTAAGAACTGATTGTTAGTTCCTATTTTTATGTCAATAATTATTAGTGTTGAATATCTTGATTAATGCTAATTCCCAAGTAACTGATTACTTATTTAATTATTAAAATTCATGACTTTGAGATTTTGTTTCTCTTATATGTACATTTTTTTAACATGTTATGTACTAATAAAATGTTTCTGCGATTATAAATGATAATGCTGAGAGATTTATATGTAATCGAATACAATTTTTATTTTCAGGACAAAATATTATATATACTAATTTCGAAATGGCGTCTCTATACCCTTCCCTGGAGGACATGAAAGTTGGGCAAATGATGCAGGTAAAGCTCATATTTCTGTGATTAATTTTGTATTACTCAATTTTCTTCAAATGTGTATTGTTTATCAAAGACTTTGTAAATTTTTCTAAGATTAAAATTAGCTGTGTTCAATGCTCTTTTTCTGCAATATAAATAATTTTTGTAATGTAGTTACTTGCTTTTGCTCACTAGCTGAGGGAATATTTGAGAGGATAGAGATAGCCTCCTTTGTCTCTCAAAGGCGTTGTGTTTATGATAATGAGCTCAGCAGAGTCCTTGACGTTATAACTTGGGCATAGTGGATTGATGTACTTCTTAAACTTATAAAGCTTAATCTAAAAGCTTCTTATGACCTGATAAAAATTTTCAGACACATTTTGCTTCTAAACATGACTGGTCAGTGGAAAAGTAGTTGCTGAAGGTAGCCCCTTTCAGAGTAGTCATTCGCTGCCAGTACCACTCTTCTATTGTATCCTCCAGAATAATGTTTTCCATTTCCTGGGATGATTCACTGGTCAACAGACCTACTGAGCCTTCTTACAGGAGGTGAAGAGGTACCACTCCTAAAATCTACACCTCCTCATGAGGCATAATTAGTTGCTTGCTATAATGTAAAATATTATAGGAAAATGAAATATGAAATTATACTAATAAATCATAAAGAAATAACCAGTTTTCTTGCTTTTGTAAAAAAACTTAATTTTGACACACAATCTTTTGCACTGACAGTAGCGATATCATATAGCATTATAATATATGTCTATTGTTGATGATTAAGAATAAAGGTTCTTAACATAAGTACAGATAAAGAACCTAAGGTTTAGAATATAATTTTTATTGCTCTCTTTTGTGTCGGAATTACTTTACTTAGATTTTTCGTTATGGCATTGTCAAAGCATTGTCTGTTCATTATTAATAAATTATAAGTGCTTATCCAGAAATGGAAGTGAGTAGAGACCATAACTGTGTCATTGGGGTTTAACGCCTTTATGCTGCCCAAATAATGCAGAAAGAGCATATTATCTTTTGTCTGGTTAGAGTAGAAGGAAGGTCTGATGCATTGTTTCCAATGCAGTATTAATACCTGTTACAAACTAATGCTTATACCATGGTTCATATACAGTTTTTATTATATCACTATGTTTCTCTTACTATCTATTTATAACTCATGATTCATTACCTAATCATAATGGTTTCATTATTTTAATCCAAGTTATCCTTGTCTGAATGTGATATTATTTAAAATTAAAATCAAAATATAAAAGAATATTATTCATATTTTATTAATTAGATTTGATTATTTCAAGTTAATACATTGGTAATAAGAGAACTATTTTGGGCTTGAATGAAGCCAATTTTATTTAATTATTGTATATTATATGAATGAAAATAACATTTCATGAATAATGGGCAGATTAAACTGATGCAAAATATGACTAAAGTTATAATTATCTTGTGAATAAAAGAATAAATATTGATATTTTACTTTTTAATTTTTTATGAAGTCTAATTTTTTTTTTTTTTTTTGAACAGTGATATATACTGTTTTATTAATTTTTCTACTTTTTTTAATTTTTATAATATGTGAGGAAGAATTATAATTGATCTAATTTTTTAATAATAGGAGATACCTCTTCCATTGATATTTATTATCTCCTAGGACCCTTCTTCGAGGAAAATTTTTGTTGATTGGTGTTACTATTGTATGTAATCAAACACATTCCAACAAACACCTTTTTTTTATTACATTACATGATAAACATTTTGTCACAGTTAAAAATATGTTTAAAACTAAAATACATTTTTTTAATGATTTGAATATTCAGTTAAATAGTGGCGGTACTTCCTGATACAATACTCAATATAATATCCAGATGCAATATGAGTGAGAAAACAGCATTCATCTCTTTACAAAAATGTATTTTATTTTTAAACATATTATTACACTACGACAAAATATTTACCTCGCACTGTAATGATAAAGAGATGTTTGTTGAAAGGTGTTTGATTATATATAATTACATCAATAATATTATATATGGTTACATCAAACAGAAAAAAATGTTCTCGAAGACAGGTAGATTGCAAGGCCTATTTATATTGTCAGAGGTTAAATTGCACAAGGTAATGAAGATATATGTATTATCAGTTAAATATAAACATATTACAAAGAAATATATATATATTTCTTATCAATGTATTTAATTATCGGTGTACGTTGAGTCTCTGATTTTGTTGCTAAAGAAAATGTAATAAAAGTACTTGGCTTCGGTAGTCCTCATTGTAGTCATTCGGCCACTCTAAGCAAGTATTAAATGCCTTTATGGCGTTTTTATAGCTTATATCTATAATGAAAAAGAAAATGGTTGTAAAAAAACTTTTCAGAGAAATAAAAATTCATAGAAAAAACATATTCCATATCTACTTTTGAAATTATGAAGCCAACCTTTACTGGTATTAATATCAGTTTTGTCATCCTTAAAGAAAGTCTTTGACTTATCAGCTAATATATCTCTGGAAATTGGGCATCCTCGTGATCCCTGCTGACAAAAAACATAGATAAAGAGATTCCTTAACTTTTGAATGACCACATAGTTTTAATGTTTTCTGTTTAGAGATACCTCAATATGATAACAGCGCTACCACACGTTGCGATTTCAATAATAAGTAATGAGAAACAGAGTGTTAATGAAATGTTATTCCATTTCCTTTCAGTCACTCGTCGGTCTATAACTTTTTTTCCTTTCTTGTTTGGATTATCATGGGTTTCAGATTACTAGGGGTTTGCATTATTGAGATTGTCCTGTAGTTGTTAACGGAAGAGGTACTTTGTATTATTAAAAAAAATATCAAGATCATTTTATTATATTTCTTACTATGAAATTAGTGAGCAAAACATTGTAAATCATAGTTAAAAATTTAATAAAATAGCATGTATCGCTAACTGCGAATATTTTAGAATATATAATGTGAATTTCAAATTAACTAATTCCTATTTAGTTTTATTGCAATGGTAATGAAAGTTATTTGTATTGATTTTTCTTAAAATGGTACCAAGCTATTTAAATTAATCATTAATGACTCACATTAACTCAGTTTGATATTTATTTATTTGTTTGCCACCTTCCCTTGTCTATTAGACTATACATGTATTTGCAGTTGTGGGATGTTATGCATGACTATATAACAACCCATTACTGCAATTAAGGCAGTATACGTATTTGAACATCAAGACTTTTTAACATAAACAAATTTTCATCGGTGAACTCTTGCCAATGGTGAATGCCGTCTTCCAGTGGTTTTCTCAGTGCTGGTCCTCTTCTCCTGACTTCAAGGTTAAACTGGGCTGGACCTTCTGCCTCCTTCCAGCTATAAATGAATTTCTTGAACTGGGAGAAGTTCTCCTTACTCACTAACCGAGGAAATTCATCCTCAGTTAGGATGTAATTGCTTGCGTTTCTCATCGTTGTTGCCCTTATTCATTCGAATGCAGTGCAGGTCGTGACCATGTGCTCGATCAGACTGTCGACAGTCTCCAGAACCTCACAAGTGGGACGAAGGTCCTGTGTCCTGTGTCCTGGCCAAAGCTATGTAGCTTAACTTGTGATGCGAACTCGTGACTATTTTTTTTATCACTTTATCTTATATCAGGTTGCCGGGCAACGGTGGTGCTGTACACACGCGTTAGCCCATTCGGCCACCCCTCCCACACACCCCTCCCCTCCCCTCAGTTTGATATCCTGTGCAGAATGCAATTAAGAGGAGACCTCTATAATCATAAATATTTTTTGTTTGGTGATCATTCAAAGAACCTAGACATCATAGCCCAGCTTTTTATGAAAATGACTTGTGAATATTTTTAAGAATCAATCTAATCTAAACTAATGCGAACAAATGTAATATTTTTGTTTCAATTTACATTAAAATTTAATTTTTAAAATTAGATTAATACAATATAATTGAATTTGATATATTGTTCCTCTTTTTATTGAAAATGTGTGTAAAATAATTTTTTATAGTTTATTCCATTAGTTTTTCTTATTCCATTATTTTTTAGGCTCAAGTGAAAGAAAATGGTGGTGTTATTCCAAGTGCTCCGCCAGAGATTGGTGACCGTGAGAAACCTAGTAAGCCGAGCGGACTTGCCATGCATCAAGCCGGCCGCGCTGTACCAGTCTATCCTTCATTGCACGATTACATGGGTCTTGATCTAGGGCCGACAGGTCAATTGAGCTTTAAGTTTAATGATTTTCCCAATTCGAACAATGCTGTTGCTTTACCACAACCAGTAAGTATGCATTGTTGTATAATGTTCACTTTATTAATTAGTTCTCATGCTTGACCTTGCTTTGATTTTACATTTAAGTTGAAACATAAATAGAGTTCCACTGAAATATTGAAATTGATTAATACTTTCAATTAAAACTTATTCAGATAAACAAAACATTGTTTATCTTTCTCTCATCTCACTTGTTTTTTTATTTTAATATTACTTCATGTTTTTATTGCAAATCACATACATTAAGCTGAAATTTTACATTAATCTACAATTTTACTTTTATATTTATAGGATTTGACAAAAACAAATTTTAATAACATGATTGCTCCTCTTTCTGGGCAGTCCCTTGGGTTGAAAAGAGCTCATGTTACCAATGGCATAAGAGAGGTAAAGATTTATGTTACTAAAAATATCTCAAATTTCAGTATTTTCTGTGCCTTACTTTTTTTTATTATTAAGCAGATAAATCTAATCATATGTTTTTTTAAAAATACTTTTTACTGCTTTGAAGATTCAAACAATTTTTCATATCTATATTTGTATACTAAATTGATTATTATAAGGCTTGGTAATTTAGGATTTTCAAATCTAATATCACCAAAGAACTCTATCTACATGTACATACTTCCTTCTACTAAAACATTTTGAAATCCATATCTGTAAAATCAGTTTAACAAATGCCAAATTGCCAGAGCAGATGCCTAAATTAGTTTAGTAATTATCATTTCTTTAGTCTTTTATTCTTAATTCAGTTCAATAATTTTATTTTTAATTCTTGCATCATTACATTATCAGCTATATTTATGGGCAACAGATCATATAATTGTTCATTGCATAGTCATCTCAATTATCCAGTTATTAATATTTTTTGTGTTAAAATTTTTGGAAGTTTTATTTTAAGGAATGTTTTATTAATATTATAATCAATGCTCCTGAATAAAATTTTCAGATTGGCACTTAGAGTTATGTTGTGTATATGCATTATCTCAAAAAGAATATTGTTATCAAATGCCAAATTAATAAGAAAATAAATTAATGCAACATATCAAAAGATAAAGAAATCAAATGTTCCTTTATCGATAAGTATAATCGACAAATAAAACAAAAATTAATTTAAATCTTCATTTCTGTTTGGAACCAACATGTATACAAATTTCAGTAAGCTATATCTTTGCTAAATATTGTCCGATTTCACTGATGTTTTTTTCATTTTGTAGGGAATTTAGTAATCTTTTATGTAATCATGGGCATAACCAAGGGAGAAGTGTGTAATTTTGTAGTTATTCGCAAAAAAAGTTTGTTTTCTTTCATAACTTGTTTGCCTGAATTTTTGGGGTGATTATTCTATTTTGCTCGCCTGAAGGAGAAGGAAACCTTCAAAATTGGTGGTTCAATCTTGAGATTTAGTGAAAAATTAACGATGATATGGCTTGGCGATCAAAAACACCATCGATAAAGATTATAAACTCCTCCTCTCTCGATCATAGAGACCTCAAGTCGACGAAATGAGACATGTATTCAATGACAGTACTACAATTAATGTAAGGTTGTGTGGATGCGAACCCTTATGCCTTGTGTTATCTCGAAAATAGTATGTTTTGGGGCTTAAAAACGCAGGATCCGATAGTTCCCTAGGAACTATCTGGGTATTGCTGTACACATCAAAATCTTCAAGATGCAATTTATCCCGTATCGATCTACAGACCTACCACCGTTCCAGTATTGAAGCCTAGCAAAATGTTTGTATCGACTTTATTTATTTTAGAAAGAAAAGTGGAGAATACGATTTGCTAACCCCTCCCCCGTGAAATTCTGAATCTAACGGTTCATGGTATTTGAGCATGACAGGAGCTTATATTTGGTTCAAAATTGATTTGGAGCCTTACTGTAATAATGTATGTGGGGATTTATTAAAGAAGAAAACATTTGTTTATTTCAATATTTTAGGAAACAAGGATCTTAAACAATATAGATATAATTATTGTGAAGGTGGTTAAAGATGGGTATTGTTATATCACACCTCAGTTTGTTGAACCCTTGTTGATGGCATGTTTTCTAAAAATGTTGGGCAATTCTGCCATAAAGTATAGAATAGAAATGTTCCATGTTTTAATAGTTCAGATACCAAATATCTGTTCTAGATTTGTTGCTTTATTCAATTATTTTTTATTTTTTATTTACAATTAGTCCTAAATTGTCATTTTCTGATTTTTGTAGCTGATCTTATGTAAAGATAAGGATGGTAAAGTAGGTGTGAGGGTGGCTGCTGTAAATTCAGGTATTTTTGTCTGTCTCATCGCTCGGGGATCACCTGCCGAAATGGGAGGAATACGTTTTGGAGACCAAATTCTTGAGGTGAATGGCACTCAAGTGGCCGGGTTCACTGTTGATCAGGTGCACAAGATGTTTAAGAAAGCTGCCGTCAACGGAATTTCAGTTGTTGTGAGAGATAGGTACACTGTTCTTTTTAATATTTAAATTCAAATTATTTTTATTTGCATGATATCTAAATATCCGTACTTGCTATTTATCTATACTTTTCTCTTAATTATACCAATCCTTGAGTCAGCAGGAGGATTAAATAATTCACCAATACAAAGATTCATATAATATTATGGACGTAATAATCATATAATGTATGGCCCTAATACTCCTACCCAACTTCATATAATATTAACATTTTTTTTTTATGTAGAGGAGTAGAGGAGAGGAGAATAATTATTAAAATTGGCAGTTAATGTTACTTGCTATTTCTCATTTACATTTCATTAAATAGGGGAAGTTGAACATCCCAATAATTTATTTTTATTAAAAAGGAAAAGAACTTTAAATTAAATGATTTTGAAAATTAAAATAAACATGAATGAAACGCGTACACAATTTTATATAGATTTTGAAAAATTATAAGAAAACCATTATTTATTAGAGAAAACTCGGATTGTTTCAAATTTTGCTACTTTACCTGTAAACGTTTGCAGCTTAACAAAATAACAGAATGCTAACTTGCTGCCAGTCCATGTCAATGACTACTAGGAAACATAACAATTGAGTTTAGCATTTACTTGACGATTTAACTTTTCCAAGTTTCTTATCTTTAATATTTTGTTCCAATTTGAAAATAATTTGACCTGCTATGTTTTTTGGCAATTTTTTAACCTAAGTTTAAGTTGTTGATAACGGCTAAAAGAAAATAAATATTAAAAATGACTGATTGCTAATTCATAAGTGGCTCATATTAAGTTTTTAGGTATACAAGGTACATAGGTTATGTGAAGGTATAAGTTACGCAGTGGTCAGTGAGTCACCAATTCCACAAAACTTTATTTCAACATCGAAAAATATTGGACACTCATCCCTAGTGTAATGGGTCTTACAAGATGAGAAAAAAATTTCTTATTGTAGTTTGCCCTTTCTTTGCACGGATTTCTAAATCGTTATATATCGACCTATCATTTTTTTTTTTTTTTTTTAGAAAAATAAGATAACAATGAATGAGTTTAAATACAACAGAAATTATACAAAACTATAAGACACTTCCAGTAAAGTAGACCAGGAAAATTATTGTTAAGAAAAAGTCAGATTAATTTTTAGAACCTCTAAAATTTTTTAAACAAAATTTTCTATAATGAAAAATATATATATATATTTTCAGACTTGATTTTCATGGAATTTTTATCTTTGCGTTAACCAAAGCATTCATAATTCTGAAAGATTTTCTTCAAATTCAATCTTACTACAACTATTAGATTTTAACTACAGCAATAACTTTTAGATTATATGCCTTTACAATATTTTTCCAAAAATGTACACATTCCTCTCCTTTCAGTCTATAATGATCAAGAGTTTATTGTATATATTAAATACAACAACATTAATATTTTTTTCAACATTATTCATATTAATTTTTTGCAATGCAAGCAGCTGTTTACATAAATAATTATTCACCCTGCTTATTCAGTTATATTCTGACAGTCTGTTTAATTTAATTATCAATGTTTGTTTTTATTTTACAGACCATTTGAAAGGACTGTCACTCTACATAAAGATTCAGGTGGAAGAGTCGGCTTTCAGTTCAAGAAAGGTGAAATAGTGAGCTTGGTTAAAGATTCGTCTGCTACAAGAAACGGCCTTCTTACTGGACATCAGATATTGGAAGTTGATGGTCAAAATGTTGTTGGGCTGAAAGACAAGGAGATAACAGCAGTTATCGAAGCAGCTTCCTCGCCATTAACTGTTACTATTATACCGGTCTCTATATATGAGCATATTGTCTCAAAGTGAGTTTGTAAATTGGTAGTCATTCCAATTTCACAATTGTTATTCATTAAGACTGTAAGGCGACACCCTTTTTCAGGTAATGGCAGATTTATATGCTTCACTGTTTGAATTTTTGGCTTTTGTCATGTGTTGGAAATTAGAATGTGTACGTGAATACTCTTTATATTACCTGCTTAGAAGGATTTAATGAGTGAGACATTACTGGATACAATTTTTGGGAAATCTAGGAATTTACCTGTGGATCATCCCACATAGCTGCCATATTTATATAGTTGAAGTTTAGCCATACAGCGAATAACCTGCCTTTATTGATTATAATAAAATCGCCAGGTTTTGTTTTAACCTTAAATTTAAGTTGCAAGTCTTCTGTTGCACAACAAATACATTTTATACAATTTGAACTTTAGATCCTTCTAATTGCTATGCAATTTTGTGGAATTTATTTTTTTATATTAGACATTTTTCAAAAATAAAATAAAATCTTATTAAACAAGGGAAGGGAAAAATGGTTTTTAACATAATATTTATATGAAAATATAAATGTGTCCTATACTCCATGGATTGCTGCAATTTGTAGCTATTGTCAGAGGCTTATTACTTTGGTTTATGGTGCTACAGTTATTTTCAACCTTGAAGGTAATTGGTTACCAAAAACATCGAATATTGTTAATTATATTTAAAAATGCTTGATTTAATTATAGTTTCATCAACTTGCACGAAATTTAAAATTATGAAATCGGTACTTATTCAAATGAAGCATTTGTTTGATAATTGTATAGTTGCTTTTTTTTTTTCTTCTCTCTTCTCCCATCAGATTTGTTTCATATCGAATATATGTTAATGTTCTTTCCAATAAGTGCCAATACACTTAGTTTTGATAAGTGGTCTTTGAAATGTCTCAGTTTAACTCAGAGATGAGCAAATGTTAGTCTGAGTACCGAGTACCAAATATTTTACTCAAATTGAAATTATTAGAAATTCAATTACTATATCAGTTTATCGTTTGACAAAAACTGAAGTAGTAATTAAATTCTTTGTTACTCAAAAAAAGGTCAGTATTTGTGTAAAATACTTGGTAGGTTTAACTAGTATTAGAGTGAATGTTGAGTTAGCTCTAGTCATTGAATGTAAATGTATCTATTAATGAATTTAAAATATTCTAATAATGGTTAAAATTATTTAAGTAATCATAGCATGCAATTTTTGCACTGTTAAGAAGAATTTATGAAATTGGAATTTTTCTGTTTTTGATTTTCTTGTTCAGATTTGTTGTAGTTTGCATGAGAAGTATTCAGATAATCAGTTGAATCATGAAATATAAAATATGTTGAAATCGCTATATTGAAAATTTGAAGAAAAAAAAATTTATATCCTTACAAAAAATAAGTTTGTTCATATTAAAAATTAGCGCTTTTCACATATGATCTGGCTCAAATTTTAATATGGTTTTATTTTGACTCAGTATACATCTGAAGCTAAATTATTATACTTGTATTCTTCTTTTTTCTTCTTTACTTTCGAATAATCAGTCATAGTATCACAAAAGTGAATTAGAATATTTTTGTGAACTACTGCTGACTCGTATATAGCTAAGTATTCAGATTAGTTGGATTTGACCTGAAAATTAGTTATACGGAGCATCTGGAGGATGTGGTCTTATTCACCAACATCAGATATTTTAAACAGTTGGGACTTAATCAGCATATGTCCAGTTCTTAGGTCATGTATAGCCTCCTTACATTAAAATTCTTCATTCATATTAAAATTCTTGGTTGTGGAATCTTCCAATTTGATTATACAGCTTTTTTAGTGTACTTTTTACTTCTTCCAGACTTAGTATGGATGGTATGTATATGAATTCTACTTCTTCTCCATTTTCAATTGTGTTTATTGCAGATCTATTATTGTAAGCCTTGAACCTGGTCTTTCATAGTTGATTTTTTTTTATGGTTAATGGTTGTTGTTCATCTTGTGTTGGTATTCCTAGTATGGAAATATTTGTGGGTGGTTTTTTGACATCTTGCTGTGGTTGGAGTCTTGCTGTGGCTTCAAAATTATTTTTAGTGGTTATGGTGGTAAGAATTGAGCTTTGAGGGATGCTATTATTTTGCCTTTTAATTATGCTCTCTTTAGAAGTGATGGACATATTTTAGATAAATACCTGTAGTGCTCTTTGCCTTGGTATGAAAATGCATGAACTTGAGGTTCCTTCTATCTTCTAATTTAGATTTCATGAGATGATTTTTATTTTAGATGTGGTGAATTAAAAAACGTAAAGCCATAAGATATATACGTATGATTTATATGTATATATATGGTACTAGTTAAATAGCTGATCGGGTCTGACTGCTATCTGCCAATGTTTATAACCTTAACACTGATAATTCTTATAAGAAACTGATAATATCTTCGTATTTATATTTATTGTATTATATTCATATTATTATATCTTCGTATTCATATTTATTGTATTATATTCATATTACTGAAATTTATTTATTTATTTGATGTTTTGTTGCCTCTACCCTGTAGGGTCATTGGCAACACCTTTAAATTACACTCTGTTGTAGAGTTTTATCACTTTTAAAAACCTTAAAGTCTTTTGACTGCACTTTCACTGTCTTGTAGATTTTATTTTAGACTCCATGTCATGTCTAACTTTTTCCTTATAGTTTCAAATGATAATATTCAAAGGGCAGTCTTGAATGATATGCTTTACTGTCGTTTGGACATTACAGCTCTCGTAGGTCGGATGATCAAGTCCTCTTAGTAGGTAGGAGTGCAAGAACTCACAATGCCCAATTCGTAATCTGCAAAGGGCTGCTCTTCCTCTTTTCGAGATGATCGGTGAGAGGTTTCCCATTTTAAACAGTGGGGTTTAATTTCTTTAATTTAGATTCTTTTTGTCCCACTTGTTTCCACATGTTCCACACATTTTGCTTAATTTTTTTAACGTAATCCTCTAGAGGGATTTCATTAATTGATTTTACGGATATTGTATCTGGCTTTCTTGCCATGTTGGCTGCTTGATCGGCTTGTTCATTACCGATGATCCCGCAATGCGAAGGGACCCAAATGAACACTACTTCTTTGCCCTTCTCCCTTAGTAGCTCCCAAACGTTTCTTACATCTTTTGCGAGAGTGGTTTTGGGCCTGGTATGTTCAATGGCTAGTAATGAACTCATAGAGTCTGTCACCACTGCCCAATTGGTAGTTTCACTTGTCTCTATGTGTTTAAGAGCTTCTCTAATTGCATTTCACCAGTAAACACTGAACAAGCCTCCGGAAGTTTGAATAGTTTTTGAGTATTCGAATTTATAACGGAACATCCTACTTCCTTATCTACTTTTGAGGCATCCGTATACAAGATGTGACACTCCTTATATTTTTCCAAATTTTCTAAAAATAGTTTTTGAACTTCAACTGGAAGTGCCATATCCTTTTTATGTCTGGCAATTGAGGTATCTATAGTTGGTTTGACATTGGTCCATCGGGGAATTATTATATCCGGCACATCCAGAGCATTTTCAATGTTTAGGTCCGAAAAATGATCAAGAAGTGTTTCTATAAAGTTTTTCTCCCTCATGTTACCTGTTTCCTCATTACAGAATAATACCTTATTTAGTATGTGTCTTGGGTTAGTCTTGATTTTAAGACCATACTTCGTTGTCATGAATAACCTTCTGAAGGTTAGTGGAGGTTCACCAGCTTCTGCATATAGACTTTCCACAGGAAGGTTGGCAATGTCCCAGTACAAATTCTTAATGCAGAGTTGTGTATCACATCCAACATTCTTAAAGTTTTACTTGAAGAAGAGCCGTAAACGCTTGAACCGTAGTCTAATTTGCTTTAATACTTGCATAGGATATGTTCATTAGGCTTTTTCTATCTGCTCCCCAAGTCGTGTGAGAAAGACATTTAAGTAGAGCAACTCTTTTGAGGCACTCTTCTTTAAGCAGTTTTATGTGAATTATCCATCTAAGCGGGCAATTTAACTGCATTCCTAGATATTTCAGGCTGTTAACGAAAGGAATTTCAGCATCACCCATCTGTATTTTTGGATTTAGTGTGCACCCTCTTAGTCTGCAAAAGTGCATGGCTCTAGTTTTGCTAGCAGATAGTTTAAACCCACTCTCTGTTGACCATGTTTCTATGTTATCTAGTGCTTCTTGCGTCTTCCACTTTAAGAATTCTATTGATTTACTTCGAATGAGCAGCAGAATGTCATCTGCGTACAAGATGGTTTTTGCAGGCTTGACAAATACATCCGCTATGTCATTTACTGCGATCTGAAAGAGGGTCACGCTCAGTGGAGATCCTTGAGGAGTGCCATTCTCCATAGTGTAGATAGAGGATTCTGAAGTTCCGACTTTGACACTAAATGTTCTATTTGTTAGAAATTCTTTATGTACTTCCATAATTTTCCTTTGATGTGCCATCTTCTTAGTATGTCTAAGACTCGCCATCTCCACAGCGTGTCGTAGGCTTTTTCGACATTCAGGAATATGGCAATGAGGTGTTGCTTCTTTTGAAATGCTTGTCGGGCTTCCCATTTCATCATTTGGACGGGAATTGTGGTGTGATCTTCCCTAAAACCGAATTGGTATGGTGTGAGAAGCTCTCTCTTTTTTATTACTTCGGTAATTCTCTGATTTACTATTTTTTCTTGTAGTTGGCTCACACATGAGAGAAGCGATATTGGGCGGAAGTCTGTTATAAGACAACTTTTTTCTTTTTTTGGTATAGGCACTATCATGGCGTGCCTCCATGTTTGTGGTAGATAGCCAGTATCCCAAATTCGGTTGTACAATCGCAATAGTATTTGTTTGCCTTCTTCAGTTAGATTATATAGCATTATATAGGAGATTCCGTCACTACCTACAGCGGATTTCTTTGGGCATTTCTGTAGAAAATATTCAAGTTCATGTATCCCGATGGGGATATTGTAGTTTTCTTCGTGGCCCAAGTTCACATGATCTACCACATTTCTACAGCTTAC